AAATACAAAGTTAGAAAGGACCCTGCTGAACCCAAAGCAGAAAATCCCCAATCCTTTTCCTCTCAATCACTGCAACACCAGGCGGCTGTAGCAGTTCTGCAGCCTAGTTGTAGTAGGCTGAGTAGTGGCCCCCCAAGATGTCCACGTTCTGTTCCCAGGAACCTGTAAATGGTCCCTTATATGGCAAAAAGGAACTTGCAGTTGTAAATAAGTTAAGGATCTTTAGACAAGGTGACTATTCTGCATTATCCAGGTGGGCCTGATGTAATCACAGGGATCCTTATAAGAGGAAAGCAGGAGGTCAGAGAGGAGGTAGGAGATAAGGTGACAGAAACAAGAGGTTGGAGTAATGCGAGGAAGGGGTCACAAGCCAAGGAATGCAGGCGGCCTCCAGAAGCTAGAAAAGGCAGGGAAATGGGTTCTCCCCTCAGAACTTCCAGAAGGAACCAGTCCTGCTGACACCTTGACTTCAGCCCAGTGAGACAGAGTTTAGAATTCTGACTGCCAGAACTGTAAGAGAATAAATTTGTGTTGTTTTAAGCCACTGAGTTTGTGGTCACTTGTTGCAGTAGTGACAGGAAACTGATACACAGTGAAGGCTCACCACTCACCATCAAGGAGGTGCCCCACTCACAGCCCTGCAGGAGCAGACGTTCCCTCTTTTGCAGCGCCCCCCGCAGCAGGGGTCTGCATGCCGCCAGAGGGAGGACTAAAAGGAAGGCACTGCCAGGCCCAGGCCTCTCCCAGGAGACATTTGACTGCAGAGTAGAGACAGGCTGTTTTCCGGGCATCCGTCCGTGTCCACTCTGGCTCTGCCCCACATTCCCTCTCACCAAACTGGAATCCTGGCTACTTTTCAGAGGAGGGGAGCTTGTCCCCCGAATCCCGGCTTGATCAGATCTGAATTGAACTCAAGGAACCCAGCTGTTCCCCAGACCCTGAAGAAAAAGGCTCTCTGTGGGTTTGAGGTATAGGCCTGGGGCTGCCTCCAGGACCCTGTGCAAGGGGAAGCCGAAGGCCCCACCAGGTCAGCAGGGTTGGGGAAGGGGAAGTGTTGTGGTAGCCCCCAGACTGGGGAGGGAGGGCCAGGGGAAGCAGTAAAGTCTTTCTGTGGAACTCAGGCTGCTGCTGCTGTGTGTGAGGTGGCTGCCAGCTGGCTGTGTGCTGGGGTGAGGTGGAGAGCAGGGTGAGGTGGGGAGCAGGGTGAGGGGGAGCTGGGGAGCAGAGGGAGGTGGGGAGCAGGGTGAGGTGGGGAGCAGGGTGAGGTGGGGAGCAGAGGGAGGTGGGGAGCAGAGGGAGG